CGACAATCAAACAAAACATAACTTTTTCAAGTTTTTTGAAATCCAACGAAACATTGCAATTACAAACTCTTATTTTTAAGAAATTATCAAAACAAAACATAAAAATACTAAAAAAAATAATTTAGCTCTCCAATGTGTGATTTGTTTCAAGACAAAACATAGCATTTTCCTTGATGTAATAATTGTTATCGTAATTTCTTCTTGTTTATCTTCTCTTTTTTCTTTTTAAATATTTTCGCCAACAAAAAGTTGCATCTTCAAAAATATAAATAAGCTTGACAAAAAGAAAGAAAAATCAAGATTCTTCTGAGCTGAAAAATGGAATCTTCTTATGGGCCAATCTATAGATGGGCTTACATATTGTAGGGCTTTTGTCCGATACTGGGACCATTGAAGACCCAAAATGTACAAGTAATTCTGGATTAAACTTCATAATACTACGTGGAAAAAAATTGAGGAATACATTATTTTGTTACATATTACATATATTTTATACATACGCTGATAGATAATTGATCCATATATGCAATATGTATGATCAATTGATCATATTAAAAAAAATAGATGAGTGGGTGAGAAAATGAAAGGAGGCCTAAGAAAACACAGCCATGAAATAGCTGTAGAGAGATGGATTATGGACCCGTTATAATTTATGATTTATGAAGATGAGCCACGAAGATATTAGACAAAATTCATTTATGGACTTCTCACACTCATACAAACACACACATATTTATGTAAATAATACTACAAAATATTACAATTGATCGACATCCTCAAGACTGAGACATCACTCACCTATATTCTCTCTTCTTTATTTTTTGAAAATTCAACATTTTTATTTCCGATTTAGTATCTCATTCATGAAACTAAACTGATCTGAAAACGGTAATTGGCTTTTCAGATTGAATAAATAATTAAATATGAACTACTTTTCGTATTTCAGTACGGTGAAAACTGAAAAAGCAAACATATTATGATTTTTCTAGAAAAAAAGTCACTTATCACGTCAAATGTTTTCATGAGCCTCTCAAAAGATCAAGTACATATATATTGGAAATTGGAATGTACGGATGTACGTTCTTGAATTATCATCTCTATATAAAAGTTTATAAAGTATTTTAATATAATACAAAGGTTTCAAAAGCTATTATACATGCAAATGTGATGATTTTTTGGGTCAACTTTCTTCAACATGAGTCCATTTTGTACGCATTCATTTTCTCTATTTTATATGTTTTAAAAATGATATTTAATTTGAACCTTATATTTTGTGACAAAAAGAAAAGTGTAAATACAAGTATTAAAATGCGAAAATGTTCTGTTTATTTATAAAACGAAGACAAACTGAAAAAGAAGAAAAATCCTACTGAATTTCTCCTTTTAATTTTTTTTAAAGAATATCACTCTTTTTTTTATAGTTAATATCACTCTTTTTTTTTTGATAGTTAATACTATCACTCATCTTCATATTTTATTATGCATGGCATTTATATTTTCATTCCTACATGTTTGTATATATATAATAACCTAATAATAAATGAGAAACATAATATATGGGAGCACGATCCATCCATCGACCGACTTGAAATAAATGGAAAGGTAGAGAGTACAGAGATGTACAGTTGTAAGAAAGAAGTGGGGATAGATGAAGCATTATAACATTAACATCTTCTCATTCAATTTTTTCATTAAACTCAATAATGTATATCAACTTCATACCAGCGATTTCTCCAATCAATAATGTTCATATAAGCGATTTGAAACATAATATTTATATATATCACCGCCAGAATAAACAAAAATTATGGAATAACTTTTTTTTTTTTAACGATTTTTTGTTGACTACAAAATTCTCGACCGAAATCCATTTTTTTTATTTGGACCGAACTAACATGCAATATGGTTCCTTCCAAACGCATTTTAGATTTTCGACTTCCAAATCAAAAAATCTATCAATCAACGTCGATGTTTGATTTGTTAACAATAGTTTTCAATCAAGAACAAAATCGAATCTATTCAATTTTTTTTTAGCCAGATTTTTTATTCTATGTTATCTCCACGGC